GGAAGGAAGGAAGGAAGGAAGGAAGGAAGGAAGGAAGGAAGGAAGGAGCGACTGGGGAGAGAGGGAAGGAAAGAAGGGAGAAAAGGAAAGGAAGGAGAGGGAAAGAAGGAAGGAAGCATGGAGAGAGAGAAGGGAGGGAGGGAGAAAAGGAAGGAAAGAAAAAAGGTAGGAAGAAGGAAGGAAAGATGGGAAAGATAAAAAAGGAAGGAAGGAAGGAAGGATGGAGAGATGGGAAAGAGAAGGAAAGATGAGAGGGGGAAGGAAGGAAAGGGAGAAAAGAAAGGAAGGAAAAAAGAAAAGGAAGGAAAGAAGGAGCCGCTATGGGGAGAGAGGGAAGGAAAGAAGGGAGAAAGGAAGAAAAGGCAAGAAGGAAGACAGGAAGGAAAAAAGAAAAGGCAGGAAAGAGGAAGGAAGGAGCATGGGGAGAGACTGAAGGAAAAAAGGAAGGGAAAAAAAAGAAAGAAAAGGGTTTGTTTCCTCTCCATCATCACAACCTGCCCCCTTCTCCACCCAACCCTCCTTGTTTTCCTTCCATTCTTGGGAAATCCAGAACCCGATCTCGGCCCCAGGGCGGACCGAGATCTTGCTGTGAGCTGGCCAAAGGGGAAACCGAGTCAGCTGGGATGATTTACGAGCCAACCTATTTTCGGGCACGAATCAGGCCGAGGAAGCGCTGAGCTCGCCCTGACTCACGGAAGGAAAGCCAGGGTGAACAGGTTGGCCGATGCTCTCACCGCCTGAGGTCAGGGGGGGAAGGAGGGCGGGGTGAGCTAGTTCGGGTTGGGGTATCGTTTCCCCCCCCGCAGCAATACTGCACTGAAAAGTGGAGGGTGGGCAATAGGCAGGGGCATCGTTGCAGCCAAGGGGCTGCAGGCCCCCTCAGAGCTTCAAAATAAGGGGGTCTGGCAGGGAAGGGGGTGGTTTCTCCACCTCAGCGACGTTGAAGATGGGTGGACTTTGACTCCCAGAATTCCCCAGCCGTCATGGATGGATTTCAAGGCCCAGAATTCCCCAAGCAAAGGGAATTTAAAGCTTTTTCTCTCTCTCTCTGCTAGTTTTCTGTTAATAGCAAGAATGCGTTTTGCGCGGTGTCTTTCAGAAGTGGGTTTATCTGTTTATTACCTGTTTAATTGACTTTGATCAGACTTTGAGTGAATGAGGTGGAAGAGATTCCCATCTCCTCCATCCTTCCTCCCTCCATTTTTCCTCCTCCCTCCTTTCCTTCCTTTCTCCTCCCCTTCCTTCTTCCTTCCTTAACTTCTTATCTTTCGTCCTTTCCTTCCTTCCACTCATTCCCATCTCCTTTCTCCATTCTCCCTCCCTTCATTTTTCCTCCTCCCTCCTTTCCTTCCTTCCCATATTTCCTCCCTCCCTCCTTTCTCCCTTCCTCACCTCTTTCCTTCATTCCTTCCTCTCTCCCTTCTTCTTTCCTTCCTTCTC